GTCATTAACACAGGGACGACTCAGTCAAGCGGAGCACTGACTTTCACATCGTCAGCTTTCGTAACATTTGAGGGTATCGTTGAACTTTACGTAACTAGCTTGGATGGGATATAATCCATAAAATTGTCTGGGAATCACGCCATGCATCCATAATAGGTGTTCATACCTTTTCTGGCGTTATTTTTAGCATCTACAAAATGGATTCTACTGACGGCAATAGGTTGAGAAAAAAATTAGACCGCAGGATTTCATTAGAAAGACGCCATGAGACATGCAACATGTGAAATATGTTGCAATAAAAATTCCTAGACACACGTACTACTCCTAAATACATGCTCATAGTCTGGTAATAACAACTGTTGACAGCTGAATGACCTAATGCCTAAAGGGCAAATGTGGCTTGCTAATGACTAAGTCTTATATTGATTTCAAGCATAATATTTGCATTCTCGAGGGATGTTACCATACAAATAAGTCCAGGACCGCAACAAGAAAACAATCATTTTTATATCTCCATGTACTTCAAATTCTTGCAAGGAATCCATATTTCTTAATTCTGCGAAGTCTTCCAATACAAAGCTTCCCTATAAATTGTGCCCCGTCATCTATCTACATCCGCGCCCTCATTGTTCCCTTTGTATCTATCTATAGATATCCCACCATTAATCACAGAGAATTCCCCCTGTAACCAATACTCCATTACCACTGGGGCAACTTGAAATAACTTTCCATGTTTGCCCATGGATTGGCATTTGGTTCACACACAGTAGGAAACAGAACAGACAACCAACTGCCGGGGCCTCATCAGCATTCCACACTTTCCTCAAATTGTGTTCTTGCCCGAATGATTTGCTGAACTTGTTCTTCCACCCTCCAAATTGATTGTGTTTGCTAATACGACGAGAGGAGACAATGACGGGAGAGCGCTCTTCTTTTCACTTCATCACGGCTGGTCAATTTCTGCTGCAACGGTCTCGGAAGAGTATGCGTAAGGATGGTGGCTGATTCCCGGCAGTATTTGGGTGACGGAACTGTCTCCCCAGAGGACTCCACAGATGCATGAAGTCATTTTTCTTGACAATTCCATCTGAGGTGCGCTCCGTCAGAAGCGAGTGAAGGGAAGCATAAATTCCCACGTACAAAGGGGTGCTGAGTGAAATCAAACATGTTGGAGAGATGTGAAAATGTGCAGTGTCCTGAAATCTAAGCCAACAACAGGTCACTGAATTGTAGCTTAATATGTAACAACCAGGCAATTAGAGGTATTGCTGCACTGAGCTGAAAACTATTTTCCTCACACAACAGCAGCTCTTATACAAATGTACAGTTTACCATTAATTTACAAAGCCGCTTGAAATAACAACATTTGAAGCCAATTTTGTACATTGCAATCAAATTTGTTCCATCTTCATGTACCAAACCAAATTTGCCTAAATTGGCAGAGGTGTTACCCGTGATGCAATTTCAAGAATCACACCGACGTTTCCATTGCGTCTTGTTCCTACCTTAATCACATTTGTGAGGATGAATTGACATACACACAAATTAGGCCAGACAGACGACAATGTAATTACCGGTGCATCACAGTCCTGCCATATAGCAAATCATAGGGGGAAATAAAAGCACTTCCATTACATACAACGTGGTGACTTGTTAGGACGCCTATTTTTATCATCATGCTACTATTTTTAGCTATTTCTTGCTCTGGTTGTCCCGTAAAGATAAACGTCATCTTCTAATTGCACGCTGGCTCGTCAATCCAATTTACGGATATACGAGGGAACCCTTAAGAGTACCAGTTCTTCCCTAACTGACCTCCCCCACCAAGGCAGGCTGCTGACATACCTAACTCTCAAAATGTACAAGCTGCATTTGTACCTAATTCTGCAATTGGAAATACCAGCACCTTCTTTCTTACAATACGATCATTCTGCCTAACTGAACAGCCATGGCATACATGTACATCCCTTGAAGCCTTTATGTCTTGAATGTTCGAGTATAAAATAAATTGACTAATCAAATATATTGTCTGAGGGTCTGTAAATACCTCACAGGTTGATTCTAAAAATTTGAAACGTTGGTGCCAAAGTGCTGCCTCAGTACTGTGAAGGTTAAGTGGCAAGTCCAATGTGTAAGCCAACTTACTATTGTCCAAACTACTACGGAATGAGAAAGGAATGTGAAGAATTTCTCCACAAGAGAAGCCAACAAGAGCGACAGACTTACAGGAGAATGGGCCAAGTTCATGAAGGATAGTGACTATCAAAGATTATACTTCATACACGAGCGAACATGAACGTCAGAGACAAAAGGGTCTTCACTGAGGATTTTGTCAAAAATGATAATTGACATGTTTCTGTTGCCCAGTGCATACCACGAGCTCTATTTCAGGGACAACTACCTTGTTCTCTGTTGAGTCTCAAGTATTAAGTAAGACTTGTGTAAATACCTACCCAATGAGTCATGCTTTGAGAAATACAACATTTCGTAGAAGGGTAGACTGGAGCTACATGAAAACAATGGGTTTAAGTCTCAGCATGATTTAACTACAGAAGAAACATGTCATTTCCTTCAAACTCTGTCAGATTCTCACCAACTCTGTCCCTTTTTCTAGTAAAAGGAGATTCATCATAGATAAAGAAAAGGGATATTTTGTTAGAAATACAAAAGCCAGCATTACAAGGCATAGTTTTTTCAGGAAAGTGCCCTAAAATGGTCCGGCAACATGCCTATGTTAGATCAAGACACTTCAATTGACCTCTAAATGACTGAATAACCACACTATGTAAACTCATCTTCCCAAAACCTTGGCAAAACTGCGACATCGCCTTACCTCTACTTTCCTCGATTTTCTTGGCATCACATGAACTGATGCATACTCTGCAAGCCTTTCTCTCCTATAGTAGTACGACATGATCCAATTGGGTCTTCACTTCCCCCGCCAACAAAATCGCCAGAAAAACTTTGGTTTGGACTCCCGGCTAGTGTAGCACAGACCAGTTTAACCAGTGTTTGCCGAGTCAGTGAGCACAGATGAGGTCCTCTGTCACTACCAACAGCAGAAGCCTGCCCCATTGGTGTGCTGTGTTTGCTGTTTATAGAAGCCCACAGAATTCACACCGCACTGTTGGAAACTTCAGCACAATAAGCTCACTCCACATCCCGTCTCAAAACCTTGTCTGCTTTCCGCTAAAAAAACCCTACTCATCTGTGTTGAGGTAACCCTGGAAGACTCGAGACAGAGAGATTTTGCTCAACATGCATGGGATTCCTCTCTACTTGTTGCTAACAACTTAACAGACTGACATTGCATACTTTTATTTTAACTTTGATGAACCCTATCTACTCTCAAAAATCAATGTTATGTTTCTCTTAATTTATGCTAAGGAAAACTCTGAGACATGTATCAATTTTTGTACCTCAAAGGACTTCATTTCTGGAGTAAATACTTTCTGTAGCTGTTTCTTTATTATTTTAGATAAACATCAGATAAACAATGGCAGAGATACCATTATACCTCGCTTGGCGTACACAGAAAGCGTAGGTGTGACCCGTTCCAATTTGTCACCCATTCAGACTGAAGGTTAAGTCAGACTTCAATTGCAGTTAATCGTGCCCTCTGTATTTGCATGTTTATCCCCTCACCCTAAATGTTGACAGTGCTAAATGCCAAATGTTTACATGTCCAGAATATCACATAACAGGCCCGGCGTCAAAGGGGCTGATTTACCTACATGGTTTGTTGGTGAAACTGGAGCCCAAAGCCTTTGTAGAACATGTGTATTAAACTAGCCACGTTCAGTCTACAGAAGCTATCCCTTACCATGTTGAAAGCTCTGTGGCAACAATAGGTACAAGTACTTGCACTTAGCAGAAGCCTTTTAAGTCCCCCACTGGGGAATTGTTCAACTGCTATCCCTTAAGCCGGTTACATAATTTTCCAACTTGTTGACAGTAAGCAATTTGAATCGGGACAATTTACACAATAAACCATCCCATTATTTTCTTTGAATTACTAAGCATTGCCAAGCTCTGTATTGTAAGTCCTCTTGATATCTCTGAATCTTTACTCTAAACCATCCAAAGCATTTTCACAATTCACTAAAAAAAGGCAATGTCATTTACATAGACAACACCCCAGCATAGACCTTAAACACTAGCAGTGTGCCACCTTCCATATATAGCTTTCCCAATTAACACAAAGCAGCCATACAAACACACGGCTGGGGCCTCCTTGATCGTTCACCCTCTCTATTGTCAAAGCAACAGAAAGTGCCCTGCCCCAGTATACAGTACACATGGGATGAGAGAGGAGGTACGTTGTGGGAGGGGAGAAGGTGGTGAGGTCGACTGGGGTGACCTACCTGGTACTGTTCCTCCCATCGGCAGCATGGTAGAGATCAAAGGAAAGTATCAGTACCATCACTCCTCACAACTTTTGTTTCCACAAACTCCTGGCACAATTCCTCAACTTAACACACGTACGGCACCGTGCCAAATGACTACCTTTTCACAGACAGTCTGGCACCTGGGCTTCTCAGCCACTTAAAATCACTGACTATTAGCTGATTGATAGATGTTCTGCATTAGCACCATATCTGATTTTTTTTTGCACTAAAAATCTAATAATACTCACTGACACTTCAGCAAACTTTTGGTAACATTTCAAAATACCCTTTTTTTAAAGGTTGTAAAAAATATTGGTATTATCAATATCTTAGCAACGTACTATTTTAGTACTCCATAATAAGATAGAAGAAGGGCTATCGCAAGATTGTCTTCTTGCTTGCAGAAGTACATAATTCAAAAGGATGGCACTAACAAATCCTGCTTCAGCTTCTTAACAATTAGCTCTCCACCATTCAGAGAAACGAAATGAAGGATGGATACCTCAAGTTTCTCTACTTGCTTGGAAAGGTACATGTAAAAGGATGTCTGTAGACTAGATACTTTTTGACACTGTCATCTCAAGATTAAGAAGAAACCAGAAGGATGGGTACCTTGAGTTTGTCCTCCTGCTTGGAGAAGTCCTCATAGTCGCCAGCGTTCAGCTCAGGAGAGGCCAGCTGCAGCTCGATGTCGGCGATGTGGAACAGGATCTTGTTGATCTCAGCCAAGAAGTCGGAGGCAGAAGGGCGCCCCTCGCCGGCGGTCCTCATGCTGGTGACCGACACCATGGAAACGTTCTCCATGGTGATGGTTTCCGTGGTGACGGTGCTGAACTGCACCGGGCGGTGGTACTGTTGGAACTGGTTCTCGATCTGGAGTGGTAGGAAAATTTTCATCGTGTCAGAAAAGTCACATGGGAGACAATAGATTTTTTTATTGAGGACATTGTTGCAAGGTTGCTGTCTTATAACTTTTAACTCTTAAATTCATCTTAACCAAATTTAAAATAGCATTTATTTCAGCTTCTTGAAAAACATCAAAACCTGCATCCATAATACTTGCCAGAAAGTTGCTTGTTGCAAAAAACTTTTATGACTGAATTTTCTTGAGCATTCAACATAGAACCACAGTGAATAACAGCACTTTCATAATTCTGCTAAGGGTATCTGTGGAATATACAAAATGTATGGGTTCTTTCTCCTTAATACCCACATCTTCTCCTCCCACCAAATTGGGCATCTTAGGGTGGTAGAATAGCTGGATTAGGACAGGATTACCTCTTGACTATAGCAGGCTTTAAAAGTACTCTAGAAATAGCCAGCAGAACAAGGATCTAACCCAAAAGACTCCCCTTAGAAAGATGCTCTAATCCAGCACGGTGTGTCTGACTTAGGGAGAAGAGATTCAGTTCTAGCCCCTAATCCCGAAGCCTATAACATTGAAGAAGCTTTTATGTGGTGAAAACTGAGTAAAAAGAAAGACTCACATCCTTCCATCTCCTGTTGATGTGGATGAGTTGGGGTTCCACCACTGGCTTGGCCCCTTGCTGCTTCAACTCCTCCGCCTTCCTGTTCAGGGTGTCCAGGTCCTCCTGCTTACGCTGAAGTTCCTCTTGGATGGCCTACATTTAAACAAACAATGAAACAATTGATTAATCAATCAATCAATCAATCAATCAATCAATCAACTTTATTGCACAACAACTTCAATAGATACAGTACAGCAAATGGGTGAACAGTATTACATAATTATCATATAGCCAGAAAATGTCCACCAATCAGAAGGCTCCATTGCTCATTGGTTATCAGGCCGTAACCTCAAACGTGGTCGGTTATCACAATAACCGACCACTTTTTTGACCATACCATTATGCAGAACAGGTTTGTAACGCTTACTCAGTGGTTTATTTGGTGGCTAACAGGGATTATCTCACCATATACACCTTGGGGTGGGGCATTAGCTCTTTATTAATCTTACTCTCTATTCACAGTGAACAGGAACTACATACTTAAGTAAGATTATATAATGATTGGAATACACAGGAGATATTACAAGTTTGTGTCTAAAGATGTCTGTCTCTGTTGCCTAGAGCACTATATGTGCATTGGCCTAGATATTATAAGGCGATTGAGTCTTGGTATTAAAACATGCCATAAACTTTACAACTTGTACAACATACCTGTACACCAACGTATTATAAAGTCAATATAAGGGGATGATAGTGAAGCATGGCGAATATCGCCAAATCAAACAGTGCAATTTACCCCGAATCAATATCAATACCCTGTACCTATAGAGCATGTTAGCACCATTATATGTGTCTGGCATCACTTCAATTTTCGCCATTTATATACTCAAAGGATCGTATAATGTTGGCGTTGAGGTTTGATCTGTGAAGTTTTGTCACAGTCAATCTGACACAGTAAACAGATCACAGTGTCTATTTGGTGACAGGGAATGGGACAGTTGAGACATCATTCTCTTGGCAACAGATGTTCGAGTACTGTATAAATTGGATTGTTTGGAACATCATGAAAAATTTATCTCTGGCAAATCTCCCTGTTAAATCGTCTCCCAAGCCCAGGTATTGCAACCTCCATAATCCCTTGACTCAATAGCTGTTGGCCCATCTACATTTTGTACAAGTACATGTAACTACTCTTTTAAGCCATGGGCAAGTACATTTTAACAATAGAATGATGGAAGTGCTTTTTTTCCAATGCCATGGCAAAAACAAACAAGCAAAACACTAAGTTTGTTGTTCAGTCTAACACATTGGAAGTATCTGACCAATTGATACACACAAGTCAATCAAATTTTTAATTTAGCTCAATGGTCACTCCACTTCTTTTCATGTAGTCATGTATTAATAAAACCTTGATGATGCCTCTAGAAATATGTCATTTCCAATCTTTCCATCTGAAGTGTATCCACTCCTACTTGAACAAAATCAAACAAGTGAGCTGTGCCCACACAATGCATGATTATCAGCAGCGCCTGGACCCCGATAGGCAATCTCTGAGCTTCTTTACACAGACGTTCTAATTTTCTTGTCTGCCAATTGTACCTTTCTCTAGTAGGTGGTCTTGAGCAAGCTATTACTGTCTTACAGTTACAATGTAAGACTCAATTGAAATTCATTCTCACTGGAGGGCATCTATCCTTCTCCATCCACTTCATCAGTCTGACAGGTACATGACATATAGATGTGTGAAATCCATGGTTATGCCTGCATAGTGCTGACATACCGTATGCCGATGGCTAATAAAACAGCACAACGGAAGCTGACATACAATATACTGAGCTGTAATAAAACGGTGCAGTGCTCTTGATAAAGTGATAAGATGAGAAATAACTGCATACACCCCTGGCAGAAGTATGCTAAATATGGTATGGAACCGATGGAGCCTCATCTATTATCTTCAGCAGCAGTGTTCACGTCTAAAAAAGTTTTGTATACTGTTAGGCCATGTCATCTTGACTCCTTTAATTATAGTACTAAACATATACCCCAAGCAGTGTAATCATTACAGTTGCAAAATTTTATATGATTTTATGTTTACATGCAGATTTTGTACATGCATAACTGGTACTGCATTAAATTACCAGAATGCCAACGTAGTGAAAAAAGGAAACACATAAGACCTTCCAAACAGCCTAGCCAGATGCAAAAAAATGCTACCGATGCCTTCCTACTGATTCTTCAAGTCACGATCACGACCTGACACTGTGTTATGATTTTGCCCATTTCCTGCGCAGACCCCTGGGATGCGGAGATTGGGGTGATATTACTGCTGTGACCAGTGGCCAGCCAGGCGGGCGAGTAGAAACCATCCATTTTCTCACCTTACGCCCACCTGTCACCATGGAAGAACTCTCCCTGGTATCACACAGACAGATCCATAATCAAGCTGATAGAAGGGTGACGTACGTCGCTGACACATGTTTAATGGTAGGGTTATGGTCTCTGTATCATTCCTAAAGATGAAAAATTGCTTTAACTTCTGATGGCTAGAGGTTTGATTTTATTTATCTTTGTATGCTGGTAGTTTTATGGCCCTTGAATCTTTCTCAATGTCAACGTTATTTAGTTGACCTCATTTGTAGATGCTCTTGGAATACATCAAGGGTATTGCCTGAGCGAATAAAAGTAAAAGTTATGGGATATGGAGTACAATGAAGGGCAAGGACTATTTGATTAGATTTTCAACATCAAAATTTATAACTTATACAGTATCAGTTTAATTTCAGGAATGGTCAAATATCACGACAATTAATCATATTGGCTAGGATAAAGGACAAGGAGACACTTCAAAATGAGATTCTACAAATAAATGAATCATTTCTATTGCAGTATATCAAACGATTGCTTCAAATTAGACTAATGCTAGGGTGGCATTCAAGTGATTTGCTCTATACTTCATGGAGACCCCTTGAACGTTGCTGCTGAGGAGGCATACAAAAGAGTATATAACGTATGTTGGCAAGGATGGTTAGCTATAACCTGTTGACCAAGTTATAGATGTGTTTTATCAGTGTGTTCCTCAGTGAGTTAACCATGTGTGCGTACCGTACGTATATGTCAACCTTTTGTTGCAGACAATGACGCATAAGCGGAGGGGGGACAGGAAACGAGATTTGACCCGGGATCCAAGTTCACCTGGGCGTTGTAATTTTCCCCATGATTCCAATCTCCACAGGTGTGGAGTAGATACGTGCGCTGATTTAATACACCTGACGTACTGACTGAGCTTTCTGTCATAAATAATAGCCTGTTTAAGTGGAAGTTGCTGATTTACACTACAATATTACACTGTAGTTTCTGACTATGGTGGATTAATGATCGTATTTGTTACAAATGTTAAAAGTCTATGAATTTTCAATTTTCTTCATGCTTCAGTTGCATCCACAAATGATGTAGAAAATTGCGCATCTTTCCTGCTCCATGCAGCCAATCACATTCAATCTCTCTCTACTGAAGAAAGGAACTACAAGTTGCATGGGCTGACAAGGAAGTATGATATTTCCTTGATTTCTGATGTCAATAAAAGAAATCCTAGCTAACACATTAAGACTTGAATTTTATTGTGTAAGTGAGCATCATTTTAACTTAAGTACATGTACTGACTCACCAGTGTCTTTTATACTATTTAACTTTCGTATAACACAAGTCCAGAGAGTAAAAACAAAATTAACTGAGATGGATTTTTACCGCCTTGTTCGATAGTGCAATATGGGAGATGCAGCCCCTTGCTCCAGGTAGGTCACCTTCCAATCCCAAAAGCCCAATACGATCATTACCAGCCCTAACCCTGCTATATTGGGCTGCCCTGAATCTCCATCCCGGACCACCTTTACCCCCCACGGCAAGCCTATAGGGGTGCTGGCTTCAAGACAAATGGCTTCCCCCATTCCCTGTTCTTGGCTGGGTCTGCTACTATTGATACCCTGGACTGTAGTGTTGTGGTTAGGCTCCCCTAATGACTGGCCTAGGGTAGTCCTCTAATCACTGATATCCACTATTATTGGCAAGAGAAGTCTGGTTGAGTGTTCTCCCCCTCATCAAGGGTAAAAGGCAGATTTCTCTGGGGAACCGCCGGATTCAGTGGGTAGCATATGTCTTCATGTTGGGATCAATAACTATTGATCAGTTTCAATCAAATCCTGCAATTAGGACAAAATGCAGTAAAACGGGGGGAAGAAATGAGGCCAATATGGACAAAGCGGTATTGCTTAATAGATATATCTATCTGCTGGCCTGCTTTGCATCAGGCAGTTCCAGAGTTGTAAAAGAAAATGAGAAATGCTGAAAGTCCTATATCTGCAAGCATGATCCCTGTGTTTTCTCTTGGGGCTCTGCCTAAAGTCTTTTCAATCCCCTAACCAAAACATTATACATCTGGCTTTATCAGTGATCATTAGATTGATTTGTTGATGGGGAGGCTTGCACCTGAGGCAGTGAACACAGAAGTAGGCAGGGAAAGATTTCCAAATGTTGCCTCCGTGCAACCTTTAATTTTTACATTTTGTGTTGTTTTTCAAGGAAACCTGCAAAACATTTTACAACTATTCCATAGCAAGATTCTGAAAGACTAGGCATCCATTGTATTTACCTATCTACTTTTCCTACTGAGTCTTTAACATATCAGCTGCAGCTATTCCAAAAACCCTATCACTTCAATCCTATCTACATGTAGTACATGTACTAGTAATTCATTAAAATGTAAGAATCCTTTTCTCATATCGCTCTACCAGGACTACTTCTTGGACTAAATCACCTGAACAGGTGCATCAGCATCCAACCAAACCCACATAACAAACACCATTACCGCCAAGAACTGCTGACACCACATTTGCCAGAATGGCACCACGAGCCAAAGAGCACTTAGTAATAGCTTACCGACACTCCTAATGCTGTATTATTCCATAAGTGTAAGGGGTAACGACAATGCAGTAGATCACCTTAATGTTTTGGGGGCATATGGTACAAAATTTGATCTTGTGTAAGACTCTAATACCAAATCAATATGAACTTTCAGGACAGATTTACAGGTACACATGACATTTCAACACCAGGGAAACATATTCTTCTTATCAGCCAGGTGCAAGAGGTAAGGCACT